AAATTAAAAAAAAAAAAAGAATAGTAAATAGCAAAATACGGCATAAGCTTATTTATTTTTTAATATAATTTATTGTCAAATTGGCTAACATACAGTGTGGTTTTGTGTTTTTTTAATATAATTTATTGGGTATCTTTATTTTAAATACATCCATAAGATAGAACAGTCTTAACTTAAGAAAATCACTGTGGGGTGCCTGGGTGGCTCGGTCGGTTCAGCGTCCGACTTTGGCCCAGGTCATGATCTCGCGGTCCGTGGGTTCGAGCCCCGCATCGGGCTCTGTGCTGACAGCTCGGAGCCCAGAGCCTGTTTCGGATTCTGTGTCTCCCTCTCTCTCTGACCCTCCCCTGTTCATGCTCTGTCTCTCTCTGTCTCAAAAATGAATAAACATTAAAAAAAAAAAAAAATCACTGTGGAGATTTAGGAGTTAAGATGGCAAAGTAGTAGGGGGACCCTGGGCTTGCCCGGTCCCTCGAACACAGCTAGATAAACATCAAATCATTTTGAACACTTAGGAAATCAATCTGAGGATTAAGGGGGAAATCTGCACAATTAGAGGGAGAGAACTTGGCAGGTGTCGAGATGTGACCTGGGGGGAGAGCAAAGCCCCATTGCTGAGGAGGGGAGGGAGCCCTTTTTGCGGGGAAAGGACAGAATGAGAGGGAGAGAGCAGCGCATTTGGTTTGCATGAGAAAAATACTCAAAGGAACTGTCGCCAAGTTTTTACACACAGTGGCGCTCCGATTCTGAAGTTTTTGGAAGTCTGTGCCATTGGCCAGAGTCAACCTGGGAGGGCAGCAGTACTCCTGGGGAGAAGGAGGGTGGAGACCCAGGAGTGGACAGCATGGTGTGGGGATCCCCTGGGGCGCCCTGGGAGAGAATGTTCCCCTTCCTGGAGTGCATGCGGAAGAGGGTATGTTGCCTCTCCGAGGACAAAAGACCCAGCGGGCACCACTGAGTGGCCATTCAACAGCGGAGGACAGGGACCTGCGGAAGCTTGGGACACAAGACGGGAGACTGTTCTTTTCTGGGAGGGCTTCCTGAACAGCATAGGGGGCAAGCTCCCCTCTCCAGGGGAGGAGAGAGCCGGTGGCACCTTCTCCCCCCAGCCCAGCAGCACGGTGGGACCTCAGTGAGTAACACAGCGCCCCCAGTGGCGGTTGGAGCTACTTACACCAACCCCTGCCTGGGCCCTGCTACTTTATCTTCGCAAAGGCAGGTCTCGCTGCGACCCAGCACAGCGGGGCCTCTCCTGAAGAGGACCCACACAGGCCCCCCCCCCC